TCTCCTTGAAAAGAAAAGAAAAACTCCCTCATTGGTACACAATCCCCCCCGCCCCTCCCCAAACCCCACCCCCTAGTCCCAAATATAATCCACTCTGCAACCCTCATTGCATACGGTAGGAGGTTTCTTACTCCCTAATTTCAAATCCTACTACACTGCCGTGGTGGTCAAGACTGCGTGGTACTGGTACAATGACAGTCACATAGATCAATGGAATAGAACTGAGAACCCAGAAATCAGCCCATCTACTTATGGTCAGCTGAATTTTGACAAGAAGATGAAATCAGTTAAGTGGGGAAATGACAGCATTTTAAACAAATGGTGTTGTCAAAATTGGAAAACTATCTGCAAAAAACTCAAACAAGACCCACACCCCCCACCATACACAAAAACCAACTCAAAGTGGATCAAGGACTTAAGACTAAAACTAAGGACTATAAACTTCATTAGAAAAAACTTGAAAGATCCCCTAGGAGCACTAATCCACAACATGAACAGTCTTCCAAGGATCCTAAAAGCCTACAATCAGGAGAGGATGAAATAGATGAATGAGATCTCCTAAGAATCAAATCCCTATGTATATCCAGAAACTTCTCCAACAGGGTAAAAAGGGAGGCCACAGACTGGGAAAAAATATTTGGTAATGACATGTCTGATAAGGGACTTATATCTAGAACTTATAGACTACTTGAGTGCCACAACAAGACAAAGGTAAACAATCCAACAGACACTTCACCAAAAAGGCATTCACATGGCAAACAAAAACATGAAGAAATGTTCAAAATCCCTAGCTCTAAGAGAGATGCAAATCAAAGCAACTATGAGATAACATCTCACCCCAGTAAGAATAGCAAAATTCAACACAGCAGCAAACGACAAATGCTGGTGAGATTGTGGAGAAACTGGAACACTTATTCACTGTTTGGTGGGAGTGTAAAATGGTGAAACCACTATGGAAAGTAATATGGTGCTTTCTCAAAAGGTTGGAAATAGAAATACCATTTAATTCAGCAATTCCACTCCTGGGAAGATACCTTAAAGAAACCATAACCATCACCCAAGCAGATATATGCACATCCATGTTTGTTGGTGCTTTGTTCAAAATAGTAAAGAGTTGGAAACAACCTATGTTCCCATCAACAAATGAATGGATAGAGAAGCTGTGGTATATTCACTTAATGGAATATTATGCAGTACTGAAAAACAAAGAACTCATGAATTATTATACAAAATGGGTGATCCTGGAGGACATTATGCTGAGTGAAATATCTCAGTTACAAAAAGACATATACTGCATTAATGCCACTGTTATAAAACAAGACTGACATGGGGGTTGGGGGAAACTAAGAAAAGAAGGAATAAATAATGTACACAGCATTGAAAAAGAGGAGGGAGAGAACTGTATAAAAATAATATATGATTAGGTATTATTGGCATGACAAGGGTCCAGAATAAGAGCTGCATAATAACGTGGTCTGGGGGAGGGGGTTGTATAACAGTGAAAGAACTTTTTTTCCAAAGGAAAAAGTGAACTGGAACATGGAGGAAAATGTGCAACAATGAATGAATGGAAATCCAAGTTATTTATAAACTTTCATTAATATCTCAGTTAAAAAATTGTGTACCCATGTATAAGGAATGCATGTCACTTAGAATTAAAGGCATTTAGGTTATAGGAGCCTGGTGCTGGTGTCTGGACTCATTCTACTCACAGCTTTCAATCTCCAGTGAGCATGTTTGAGTGTCCAGAGGAAATCGACTGAAGTCCATGTTGCACATCGCTGTCACTGTAACTCTAGAAACAAAAAGACAAAACTCACACTTTTAGAACCTGCAAAACACAAATCTTGAGTAATAAAAGCCAGGGTAATGGTGGGCAAAGTCCAGTGGTAATTAATTTTATAAATCATAATACATGAGAACGGCTGTATGAAACATAATGTGAATGAAGAATAGCATGAAACACAATGTATATGATCTTTGTAACCAAACGATAATAATAATAATAAAATTAATAATAATAATAATAATAAAGTATTTTTAAAAATCCCAAACAAACTGAAAGGCTTCTGCTTTCTTCCAGCATAGCTACATCTTTCTCATAATCCATAAATAATACAACAGGATTCAGATAACTAGTGTATACTTGATATACTGATTGTAGTATACATAGGTATTTATGTCAACCTAGAAATTGTATGTGCTGTTTATCACACTCAGGAATTCAAAAGAAACAATGGTCTCAAGCAATATATTATTATTGGTTACTGTTGAGGTGATCGTGACTCATTGTCGACCATACATGCTACAGTGCAAAACACTTCATAGTTTCCTTGGCTGAATGAAAGCAGATTGGCAGGCCCATCTTCCAAGATGAGTACAAGGCATTAAACTCATGAGATGCTTATGTAAGTCTTTGGTTTCTTAAGGGAGCCATAATAAAACAAACCAAACCCCTGCCATCAAGTCAATTCTGATCCATGGGGTTTTCATAGTTGTAAATCTTTATGATAGAAGACTGCCCATCTTTCCCCTTGAAGTGCTGGTGGACTCATACTGCCAACGCCTAAGTTAGCTACAACTACTCATTGCTGTTGAGTCACAGTAGACTTGTAGCTAACCTTCCATTTTGTTTCTGAGGGTGTAAATTTCCTGGAGAGAGGCTGTCCATCTTTCTTCTGCAAAGCTGCTGATGGACTAAAAATGACAGAGAGGTGTGACCTTTAGGTTAGCAGCACAATATCCCACAGCTATATGAGAGCTCACTGCTATGCCACTGTTGTTGTTATGTGCTGTCGAGTCAGAGCTGATTCATAGCTGACCCTGCAGCAAGTTTTCAGAGACAGTAAATTGCACTGGAGAAGACTGCCCATCTTTCTACTGCAGAGCAGCTGGTGGATTCAAATAGCATGCCTTTGAGTTGGCAGCACAATTCCTTACCACTAAGCCATCAGAACTCCATAGGTTTCTTAAAGAAAGCATAGACTTTAAATATATTAGAATTAATCTTATCCTTTACTGATTTTATTGATATTTGAAAATTTATATATAATGTTTCAGAAATCACTCTTAGGGCATCCATACTTTGTTGTGTTTTATGATACTGATTTTTCATATTTATAATAATATCTATAAAGGGGCACAGAGGGTTTTAATGCCTAATCCACAGAGACTACAGTAATAGAAAAGCTCTGCAAGGTTTTACTGTATCAACCTGAAAGAATTTGTTATTTTAATGATTTTGTTTGAGAGAAAACTAGAGCTCTGCACCAAAATTTACCAAATATATATATCATTAGTCCTAGGTACAAGATCTCCCATCCACTGGTGTCTTAGGGCAGGACATGATTAGTGGTTACTTGGTGGTACTGAGTATTCTAGTTTTTCTCCAACTACAGAAAATTGTTTATGTATATAATTATTGGGAAAATTCACTGACTAAAAAAAATAATAAAGAGTTCCCTTTTCATTTAAATCGACAAGAGTTATGAAAATATTTGAAATGGAAGTGTCCAAATATTTGCTCTATTTTCTCAACACAGTTTGAGTGTGAAAATGTGTCTTCTGTATGGATTACTTATGTAGGAGACATATACTGCCAACAACTGGCTAAAGCCTTATCTCCTCTGGAAATCTTGATAAATCAGGGGAAACCAGGAGAGTAGCCACGTCAGAAGGATGAGCAAATGGCTGGCTGGCTGGGAGCTAGCATGGACATTTGACCAATCTTCTCTCCAAATCCATCATACTTACTGGCATGGCAAGAAAGAAAGCAACCAGGAGTTAAGTTTGGAGACATGAAATGTCAAATGCAGCAAGGTTTTTTGTTGTGAACAAAAGGACTGAATAACTCTTCTCTTTGTGTTAGTTGGTGTGGTACAGGAACAGATAATTTTAAAATCACAGATATCTTACTGGTTTCCCTTACCTCCCCAATGCTTCTTTATTCTTAACTCATACATTGAACAAACATGGATTTTGGTGGAATCAAATCCTGTTTTCATTTTTGTTTTCCTTAGTCCTTTTGAAGGGCATTCTGGTGGCCTAGTAGATAAGGAGTTGCATTGTCAAGTCAAAGGCAGGCAGTTCAAAACCACCAGGATCTCAGAAGGAGAAAGATGGGCAGTCTCCTTTTGTGAAATTTACATCCTCAGAAACCTACCGGATGGTCAACTATGAATTGATTCTGATTAAATGGCAATGAAGTTTGTTTTGTTTGAGTCTCTTTAGATTAACTGATGGATAGGTGGTGGTGGTAGTGGGAGAGGAGGAGGAACACCTTCCTTTAGATTAACTCATGGGTAGATGGGGTGGTGGTGGGAGAGGAGAAAGAGGAGGGTGGAGAGGAAGTAGGAGATGGAAAAAGTAGGGGGGTGAAGAGGAAGATCTTCCTTTAAATTAACTGATAGGTAGGGTGATGGTGGTGGAAGAGGAGGAAGAAGACCTTCTTTTAGGTTAACTTGTGGGCAGGGTAGTAGTGGGAGAGGAGGCGGAAGACCTTCCTTTTGGGGAGAGGAAGCTTGTCAAGTCCTATGACATTATTGCTTCCTTTCTCATAGTGAAAATGTATAACTTTCATAGTTAAGGAAACACATCTTCATTCAGAAATTTAAAAAAAAGTATTGTCCAGGGTATTAATCAACACTTCAAACTTCATTCATATTAAGGTTCTCCTGCTAGTATGATATAAGTTGGCATTTGAGCATTCAGTGTCTTCCCATCCTCCATCATGGATGGACTGAGGGAGGGGGGTGGACAACTCTTTAGGTAGGCGATCACAAGCTCTCTAGGCCAGCTACCTGGCTGCCCTTGATATAGTGTGGGTTCCTTTCCAGACACTGCAATGAAGTCGCATGAACATATAAAAATTATTTTGACATTTTATTGTAGTCTCGTAAGTGTGCATTATAAACAAGTTTTAAATATTTTGAAAATTACCAAAATATAACACAGAGACATAAAAAAGAACAATTGTTGGAAAAATGGTACCTGTAGACTTACTGTTGCAGGGTTGCCACAAACCTTCCATTTTCAAAAAGCCTTGGTATCCTTTAAGCACAACAAAGCCAAGTGTGATAAAAGGAAATGTGCCTGTGCTTTCTTCCTGAGTTCCAGATACTTACAGAGTATCCTCACTGTCTGGCACTTCCAGGCTGCAGGTCTCCATTACCTTGCAGCAACTCCTGCTCAGCTCTTACCTCACCTCTGTCTACTCCATACAGACCTATATGGTCCCAACAATTCTAGGAGTGCAGACTGATCCCACGAAAATAAAAACTTTTCCTGGACCTACGCTCAGGATGGTTAGATGGCTCTAGTCTCACTACTAGCTGTGCAGTGCCCCCAGCTGTAAGTACACACACCAAAGGCCCTGTTGAAGGCACCCTCACTAAACCTGGATTTAGTAGGTTTTCCTGTCTTCCCTGTTCTCCAGCTTGAACTCATGACATGGTCACAGTTATCTCCCAAGAAAAATCTTACAACCTTTTATTTCTCTTCTGCAATCATATATTCTTTGATTTTGACTAGGAGTTCAAGAGCAGTGGAACTAGCATTTGAACATTTCCAGAGTTCAAATTCAACCGGAGGCACATTGAAAGAAAGATTTGGCAGCCTACTTCCAAACAAAACAGCTGTTAACTAGACATAGTTCTTGTCCTACATACCTGTGCTGCCATGAGCAAGAGATGACTCGACAGCGGTCAGTCATTGGGCATTTAATTTCATTAACTAGAAAAAGAATTGGTTGACACAGAAGAATTTCATGAAACAGCATATGTGCAAGACCCTGTGGTGATGAAGGAAGATGTTCAAGCAGGTCTGAATGAATTGTCAAAAACAAGGGCCCAGGAATTGGTGGCATACCAATTGGCGTATTTCAGCAGAAGCTGTCCTGGAAGCACTCACTAAGTTGTGCCAAGAAATCTGGAGGACAATCACTTGGCCAACTGACTGGAAGAGATCCATATTTGTTCCTATTCCAAAGAAAGTGACCCAACAGAGTGCAGAAATTATTAAACAATATCATCAATAACACATGCAAGTAAGATTCTACTGAAAATTATTCAAAAATGACTGGAACAGCATATCAACAGAGAACTGCCAGAAGGCTGAGTTTAAAAGAAGCCATAGTACCAGGGATATTATAGCAAGGTTAGATGGAGCTTGGCTGAAAGCAGAGCATACTAGAGGAATGTCTATCTGTGTTTTATTCTCTATACAAAGGCATCTGACTGTGGATCACAACAAACTGTAGATAACTGTGAGATGAATGGGAATTCCAGAACACCTGATTGTGCATATGTGAAACCTATACTTGGACCACAAAGTAGTCATCAGAACAGAGGAAGGAAATACTTCATGTTTCAAAATCAGGAAGGGTATACACAAGGGATGTGTCCTATCTCTATACCTTTTCAATCTGTATGCAGAACAGATCATCCAGGAGGTTGGGTTCTATGAGGAGGAATGTGTCATCAGGACTGGAGGAAGATTCATCAACAACCTACATTATGGAGATGGCACAACCTTGCTTGCTGAAACTGAGGAGAACCTGGGGCATTTGCTGCAGAAAGTCAAGGACTATAGTCTTTAATACGGATTGAAGTTCAACATCAAGAAAACAGAGATTGGCACCATCATGGTATATGGTGAAGAGATTGAGATTGTAAACAGCTTCCATTTCCTTGGCTCCATAGTCAACACTCTTTGTACCAGCAGCCAAGAAATCAAAAGACAAATTGCATTGGGAAAGTCAGCTGTCAGGGACCTCTTCAGAATACTGAAGAGCGATGA